CCAAATCTAGCTGTTGGACCGTTTACCCCAGCGATCAAAGGTTTAGGACACGTGACAAGAAGTCGTAGGTCGTATTTATTGCAGGTCTACACCACAATCTGAACAATCAGTACCTCTATGCAATTAACAGTATAAATGTGCCATTCAATAAACAAACCAAAAATCAGTACCATCAATAAAAACCATTGAGATTTTCACAAGAACAATAGAGATAAATCAAGAGGCATTTAATCATTTATCTCAAAACCTTTTCTATTGTTGATGTCGGCTATAACCAAAGTTTTTCCATTTTCTTTTGTAGCTACTTCATTCCTTGATATACACAACTTCGAGCAAAGGGAAAGGGACCACTTCAATACCCCAGTTATATCATCACATAAAGAATGTTTATTGCAGAACTGATAGTCTGTGAGTATCAGTTGACAACCTTCAGGTGGGCTCACATCATTATATGAACAAACAACTGACATCCACAAAGAATTCAAATTACAAAAAAACATTCTTTGCCATGAATCACCATGACACATGAGCAATGAAAAACTAGTAAGAGTAATTGAAGTGAATGCTAAAGGTGGTAAAGGACTTTCACAACTCCACCCATGTGGGATCTACAATATGAGAAAATATGAAATAATGATATGCAAAGTAACAATGCATCAGCAAAATTAATTTATCATGAAATCTCATGCATTTCTTTCATATTATATTACATTGACTCCTAAAAACTATAGTTCATGCACTTAACACCATAAAACTAGAGTTCATGAACATAACTCCTGACTGTTATGGACTATGCCCCTAAATCACAAATATTATAATGAATCCACCTAACTCACTAACACTATACTTCCTGCACCTAACTCATAAACACTATAATTCACACAATTAGCAAGCAAACACTATATTCCATGCACTTTGCATTCAAAAACTAGAGCTTATGCACTAACTCCAAAGATTACATTTCACACACCTAAGTACCAATACTTAAATACAATAGGTTTTTATGCGATGACTTTTATCACAATATCTTTTTAGACGTATTCCTGACGCTAGCAAGCGTGAAAATCAAGTTTTTGGTGATTATTTCTGCTAAATATGATTGAAGAAAAACATCGAGCCAAGAATCATCTAAAGATATAGAAAAATAATACAAACTTACCACATCGCTTTCAACTTCATTGAAAATGGCTTCTTCACCAAACTTCAACAAACGAATTGTGACCTTGGCGAAATATAAATAGCATTATGTTGCAAAGGAAGCAAAACGAGAAATGTCCGACGTCAATATATCTCACATTCCAAATTTACTTTACACGTTTTTCTGCCAAAGCTGTGAGTCGCTCTTTGTTGTCTTCATCTCATCTAGCAAATATTAATTATAATTTGGAAAACAGCAATTCTTGGTTTTCATGTGTGTCTTAAGGGAATAACAAACAAAGAAAGGGTATCCACCATGTCGCCTAATAGCAATGGGAATCCAATGATATTATTTTGTAAGGAGTCCATCAGCATGACGCATATGAAAACCACCAATACTTTCCATAAACTACAAATTCACAGTTTGAAAACAGATTCCTTTCTTCTATGCCAATTGCATGTTAAAAGTTCATGGTTGCTTCATTAAACTAATTATAAAGAGCGTTATGTTCAAAGGAAGCAAAATGAGACATGTGGGAAGTCATTATCTCACAGTCCAAATTTACTTTAATTTACATAAATATGATGCGAACTGTAGGACGACGACACTTATCACTTTATTATAAAACACATGTAATATAGACAAAAGCAATAGCCACCATGGGGTTGCTGCAAAACTGCAACGTCAATTTAAATTTATTGCAAAACCAATCAAATTCATTCATATTCATTACACTAGTTTAAATTGATAAAAAAATTTACAATTTTCGTTCCGTGCCACGCCTTAACAGCTTTCTCCAATCTTGCAAGTTGACTTTTTATAAAGCATTGATATGTGGTTAATCTCGTTCACCGCGAATTTTGTTGTAGATGGACAACTTTTCATATTAGACAAAAAAATGAATAATAAAAATGATGGAAATATGAAGAATAATAAATTATTCATGTTATAATATTTATATTTTTTCTTTTTAATTATTTTAAGATGAGAGTTGTTACAAAGGCAACACACGCAAAAAGAGAATCTAATTTGATTTGTAAAAAGGACACGTGACAAACGATGACGTAAGTACCACGTCTGGTTACCAAGGAAACTAACTCACCATGCAGTAAGATAACTTCATTCCACGAGATGATGTTGAAATCCAAGCCTCTAAAATATGATTGAAACACGTGACTTATAAATGCTTTGAAATGTCATTGTTTGCGAGTGATTTTAGAAAGATTGAAAAACGGACGACTTTGCAATTTGGCTTCTCTAAATAGTCATCAGTTCAATAGCACAGAATAGATACATAACAGAAACGCCAACGTAGCTTGCCTGCATAATTGTAATTGAAAGTTTTTATTTGTAATTGTATATTGAGTTCCTGTGGCTATCATGTCTGTCAAATTTGTATTAACTTAGAAATAAAGATGTTTTTTGTTGTCATACTTTTAATAAACAATATATGAAATTACAATTATTTAAAGAATGAAGTTATTGATAAATTTGTTTCAATTAAATTAACAACTTTGTCATTGTGTCAAACATTTGTCAAGCTCCTACAGCTTAGCTCTTTGGGTAAACTTCACTTGTGAGTTGTGACCAACAACTGCATGTGAAAAATGATTAGAATTATGTTTGATTCACCACATTGATCAACCAGCAGAGAAAAATTATTGCAACAAAGGACTCGAACAATTAATTTTTGCTAAAATCTATAAACTTCATTCAATAAATTAAAATTTTTATTGTAAATAATCATGTCACAAACAGAACTTAACATGACAAAAACCAGTTATAGTTACTTGTAACGTCTTTATTTAAATCTTAATACTTTACACAGTAAAATGTTTACCAAACAGTGAAACACAGATACACCAGAAAACGTTTTTAAAACATTTGACAACAGGGGGAAATTGTGCCATGCCAACACCAATCCAATTCACAAAAGCATTCAGGAAGCTTTATTATGTTCACTTCTCACATCGTCAATAAGCATCTATGTCAAATATATAAATAATCTCCTGATGAATTTACAAATGCAGAGATAACAAAGTTAAGTCATGTGGACCATATGTTTTACAAATTGCTATTTAAGCACTCTATTGGTGGAGACCAACTTGGTGCTGCTGTTCCAACTTGCTCAAAAAGTCATTCAAGCTTCACAAGTCACAACTGTGATGAATACAAAATATTTTGGGATCACACAACCTTCATAGTGGCCATGCAGCATCCCTTCTGATACTTTAAAGCACCAGGGCAGACAAGTTTGGTGATTCGAATGTCCTGCCAAACGCTCTTTGCAATATATAAACTAACTGGAGAATAATTTAATTCTCTGCGGAATTCTTATATGATAAAATTAAAACCGACGACAAGCCATATACCGAGTACACATCACGTCAGATACATATCTACTTTGAAAATATTCCGAATAAACCCTCATTTATCAAAACGGACGTCGAATTAATGCATAAATTGTTGAAAGCTTGATGTGTTAACTGTATCCACACAAAAAAATATTAAAAAAATGGCCAATCTATAGAAATATTTGGGTTTATTTGCCAAAACCCATCCGGTACAACTATATATTATATTACGATCTGGCTGCACCATTGAGTTCTATAAGATCTGGAGGGGAAAAGGGGCCTGGACCCCGTTGTCAAAAACATGGTGGTAATGGCGGATTTTGGTTGTCAAAACTTCCACTTTGAGAAAAATTTTTAACATTCGCTCCCTCCCAAACCCGAATCTCTATTACTGCTTATATTAATGACAACCAGCGAAAACAACCACGATACCGTAAGCTTAAAATTTAAAAAAAATGCTACAGGTTTTTGTGAAATAGACACACACATTTAAATGAGGAAAATCTTTGTTAAAATAACGTATATTTTGTCAAGTAATGCTTTAGCTACATTAGAAATAAATATCTAACGGCATTCTTTACACTCTCAATGTGTCGTTAACCTTTAATGCATATCCCATGCGCATTACTTGTGTTTTTGACCGTTTGTGAACAGCTTGGTGCAACTATCTTTCTTGAATAGATGGGTAAATCTTAGTTAAAATGTCCAAAAAGGAGTTGGAAATATATTATAAAGAGTCGACTGGGAAATATATTATAAGTAGGTATGTAATTTTTTTTTGAGTTTTTTTTGGTAGGATTGATTCTGGGTGTCTTATAAGGTATTATGATATTCTGATAAATCTACTGAGAACTTATGAAGAAAATATCTTGAACTAGGAGAGCAAAAGAACGAAATTCAGAAATTCTATAATCATGTTGCTGGTTCTGTTTTGAGCCAAGATATTAGAAACTGGATTGTCATTGACAACCATGGATCTACTACTGAACAGAACTACATTAATTTCCCATTGAAAATACGATTTCTTAAATTAAAGTGCATTGGTTTCTCTGACATAACACTTTTCTTATTGCTGCATGAAGGCAAACCTGTTTAAATAATTATAATGTAGGTGAAGATTTTTAGCATGTTGTATCATTGTTATTGTACAGTCATTATTTATAATGTTATGGCCTTGTGTAATGTATGTCAAGAAGAACATATTAATTCTCAAAAATGCTAATTTTGCACTATTTTCTCTTGTGTCCTTACAAATTACTAGTACCTATACTAATTTTTTCTAGGTTCAAACAACTTGACAAACTTTTGAATTTTACATTATATGCCTTTGAATTTTTCTTTTTGTCTTTTGGTAAAAATATCAGTGAATGACTTAAAAATCAAGTTTTCTAAAATAGTATTTTGTACAAAGAAACTATACATAATTGGAAAAGTCTCATGTTGAAGACAGATGTCGCTTCTTTTACTAGATTGCTATTCTTAATCCTTTAAATAATATCGTAATTCTCCATAAGACATAAAAAGTTCGTTGCCATCAATTTTCGCTTCTTCCACATTCTACTTCATTGCAACCAATGCATCTTATGTGAATTTTTAATCACCTGAAATTGAAAAACGTATGGATTTTGTCAGATGATGCAGTACTATATTTAATGTTTCATGCATGTCATAAGCCTTTCTTGAGCAAAATTTTTGATTTTTATCTTGATTTTCATGTACTAACCTGTTTACTACAACAAACAGTTCATTTACAGAAACACCAGATGGCATTTATAAAACTTTTAGCGAAAAGCAAACCTTTACACACCATCATCATGATTGTCCATAATCTGTGAAATTGTTCAGGCTAGCTGCTTAAGACAGGTATTTTTATTGTACGACATACACCAAAGAGTTCATTAATTAATCCTGCACTGCATTTGATTTCAATACAGGTCTGTTCTTAATATTTGCTTTATATTTTCAGAAAAATATCATGAAAAAATCCTCAATTTCTTGGAGGTAAAGTCAGTTGAAACAAGGAGTTTTAAGACATGCATATCTCGATAAGAATTGGTTGCTTTGCCTCGTCCAGCAAGCGATTAAGTAAAGAACAAATAAGACTGGATATACATAACTTAAATTATAATATTCACAAAATATATACCATCACACTTCAAGTATTGACTTAAAACAAAACACTGAACACTTTAAATGGTAAACAATCTTACGTTGCTTACCGGTGTCATGAAATGTTTCCATTTCTGGCATTACTTCAGCATCCGTCTACCAAACAAGTTTGCAGCATGTTTTAAAAATAAAATTTCTAAAAGTTTTTGTGCTTGGCATTGAAATTTTATATAATCGTAATTGTGGTTGTCAAATCCGGGTGGGCGAAAAAAATTTTATTTTATGAGTCCGCGTCTTTCCGCTGACTTTGACAACCAAAATCCGCCATGTTTTTGACCACGCGGCCGCGCGCTAATAATTTATAGTAATTTGATTGTCATTTCCCCTCCAAGTCTTATAGAACTCATTGTGAATATCTCGTTGGTCGCCAGATCAGTTGAATTTTAAGTGACCTGGAATAACCGACTGATAAGCGGGGTGGCTTGACTGATTCGACTGATAAAGGAGTCTATGAATGCCAAAAACGCTTATTTTATTGGTCAATGGCCAGATCAGTGGACAGTCTGGAATGGTCTCGACCGATAAGAGGGGTGGCCGGACGTATAAGGGAGTCCAATTGCTATCTTACAATTGGTTCATTTGAATTTTTGTTTTATTGTGATTGGTTTGACGGATTTCGACTGATAGCCAACTGAACTAACATAATTGAATGAAGATATGATCTTCGCACTTTGCTGGACAATTTAAGCAATTGTCTCATTAACCTGAAAAATTCAGGTGACTCAACGGGATTCGAACCCATGACCTCTGCGATGCCACGACCTCTGCGTTGGTTAAGAGCACTGCACCTAAAATTACAATCAGATGGAATTTATGGAAATCGTTTACAAATTCATATATTGACATGAATGCTGCTGTCCAAACTGTGAATTTTTTCAAGAGGGTGAAAAATTTATGGATAAATTGTAAATGCTTAGCAAAGACGATCTCGCGAGCGACATTTCAGTCATTGATGTTCAAAAGAAAGCCAACATTGTTTTGAGTTTTATCAGCAGAAATTTACATCCAAAGTCGTAAGTAAAGAACAACTAAGTGTATGCATGAATATAAAATATCAAATATCTGTTCTTGAATAGCATTATTGTAAAATAAATTTTACGTTCCTAGACACACTAATGAGCCATATATTTGGCAAATATTTGGCAAAACATTCAAGTATTGTTCACTTTATTTTTTTTTTTTGAAAAAAACGTAAGCAAAATGTGTTGTTTTTACGCAAAAACGATGCCCACAAAATACATTTTGTATTGATCTATAACGCTAAAAATGGCATTTTCAAGGCTCTGGAATTCAAAATTTCTCAGGGAAGAATGCCTCAGACCCCCCAGGTGCGGAGCGCCTCCGACGTTTTATGACTGATGTTTGAAAAATCCTAGATCCGCCCCTGACTGAGCAATGTTATTGTTTCCAAGACCTGTATTAAGCATCGGATTAAGAGATCAAGTGGCTAAAAATACTTGTAATTCACTTGCGGGAGAAATACCCATAGCTAACTAATACCCATTCAGCACGCCTAAAATTGTGCTGAATTTGGAGACTAAAATCTGTCTCTTGATTGGTTTATTGCCGTTGTGCTGACTAACGAGCCGCCATTTTTGCTGAAATGTTCAAGCGGTGTTGTGCGAAATTCAGCACAGATTAAAGGCCCGTTTAAACGATCCAACAATGTTGGACCAACATCGTACAACATTGTTGGATGCACATTGGATTTAAACGATCGACGTACTGGTTTTATGTCAATGACAATTAATTACATCAACATGGTCGACGCATTTAAAAAGCGAAAACTTGCTGCAGCTTTTGCTATATTCATCAGTCTTGACGAGCAAGAAAAGAAGCCCACTCGTGGAAGAACTCGTCGATGGATTAAAAGACGCGGAGAGATAGGTTACTTTAATACTATCGTTAGAGAATTGATGATGGAAGACACTGCGTCGTATTGCGAAATGATGCGAATGTCATATAAAGATTTTAAATACATACTTCAAGAGATTGCATCGCTCATTACTCCACAGAGAATCAACGGAGGGCAAAGAGTAATTTCCCCCGCAGAAAGATTAACATTAACTTTAAGATTCCTGGCCACATGTGAAACATTCCGAAGTATGAGCTTCCAGTTCAGAGTATGTGTGGCTGCAATATCATACATTATTAAAGAAGTTTGCAAGGCCAAAATTAAGCATCTTGGACCAAAATTTTTCAAAGTTCCCTCAACCAATGAGCAATGGCTTGAAATAGCTTCTAAGTTTGAAGAAAGGTGGAACTATCCAAATTGTATTGGAGCTATAGATGGGAAGCACATTGTGATGCAGCCACCTGCGAGTGTGGGCTCCTATTACTACAACTATAAGCATACTCATTCCATTGTACTCATGGCTATAGCTGGACCTGATTATGAATGCATCTATGCTGATGTTAGAACAAATGGAAGAGTTTCGATGGTGGAGTCTGGAAAAGTGTGGACTTTCCAAGGCAATAGAAGATGGTGCAGTGTCTCTTCCTCCACCAAAGTTGTTACCTTTAGGGATGGTTGAAGTGCCTCATGTATTTGTTGGTGATGATGCTTTTGCATTGCAAAAAGACATGATGAAACCTTACCCCCAACACGGCCTTACAGATGACAAGAGAATTTACAACTACAGACACAGTCGTGCACAAAGAGTGTCAGAGAATCTTTTTGGAATTATAGCCAACAGATGGCGTGTTTTCAGGTCTGTGCTTTTGCTTTCACCTAGAGCCATTGAAGATCTGGTTTTAGCTGCAATAATATTGCACAACTACCTCAGAAAGAGTACATCCTACAGTATTTACTGTCCTGTAGGAATTACAGATAATGAAACAAGTGAGGAGAACTGATTCCTGGTCAGTGGCGCAATGACAACCATTCTGAGTCATTTCTTCCATTATCTGTACCACCAACAGGTCACAATGCTACAACCGAAGCAAAGAACATTAGAGATAACTTCAAGGAATATTTCTGCAATGAAGGAGCAGTTGAATGGCAGTGGAATTTAATTTAAAAGTTAACCATTTACCATCTTGTGAACTATGACATAGAACGGTAACTGACAATATAGTAGCTCAAACTATCCATAGTAGTAAAGCTTTTTGGTGCAATTTCATTGTAGTAAACTAGTAGAGCTTTTTGGTACAATTTAATTGTTTAAGATCCTAGCCTTAAATGAAAAGTAAGTTTTACAAAGCTTTTTACATAAAAGCACATTGGAAAATTGCCATTTATGAATTTAATTTACAAGTCATGGTGAAGAACATAAATTGAATATTGTTGCATTCTAAAAGCTTTGGTACATGCCTTATTCTATTCTTTCTCTAAGACAAGTTTTTTATTCAATTTCTTCCCTAAGTAAACAAATTGATGTTTCTATCTAAAATCCTCTCTTTGATGCTGTCACTTAAATTGCAGTCTAAATTTGTTTTTTGATCTCTTTCAGATATCCGAACTCTAGAAAAAGCAATTAGTTTCAGTATTTTTGATGGGTTTCATTTTTTTTTCAATTTTAATTTTGCATATGTTGACATTTTTTACCCAATAGCCAATAATAAGATGAATTTTATAAAATAGGTATAAACATGAATAACAAATATTTTGCAGTTCGTTCTGTTCATTTAATGTAGTCGAGATCATACAAATAATATTTCAACATTGTGAATTAGTATTAAACATTCCCATAAATGATCCTTGGTTCATTGGAACACCAATGTCTCTATCCTGATGATGGATTATAGGCAGGAAAGATTGCACTTGACTGCATTTCAAGTTCAAAATTATGTCATTTATTTTCTTTTCTGCTATCATCCTAGTCCTGCTGTCAAATTTGTCCAACTTCTCTGAAATATACATAGCAAAGTAGCATTTCTTTTGATCTGTTTGTGGCACAACTGGCTCCTTTAAAATTTTAACACAAGTTTCTAGGATCTCAACCTTTTTTGCTTCACTTGTAGCTCTTGAAGATTTTTTTGATGGCCTGGAAGATGAAATTGATGCACAAGCTCCAGGTGTAACAGGGGTTTCACACCCTTGAAATTCACTGAGACTTCCCTCAAAACTACTATCTCCATCAGCTGAAAACACAGAATCTGGAGTTGAAGTTTGTCGTGGCATATTATCTCTGCTTTTCCCAGCTTGCATTATTGGAATTAAGAACTGCAACCTGTCCCAGTAAATCCATGAAGATTTATAGGTTTCAGAAAGTCCTTGTCCAGACTTTGTTTTCTTAGTTTTTCCTAGTTCTCTTCCAAGTTGAGCTCTGAGACACACAATTTTATTCTTGATATCAGCAATTTCACGTTCTAGTGCTTCTGCAATTTCTTTGTAGGCTTTATCTTTGATGTCTCTTTTGTGATAGTCTTCACAGAATACGTCCCAAAGACAAGCTCGTTCCTCAAGCATATCTATTAATTGTTGGATGTCAGATTCGCTCCATTTTGGCCATTTTTGGCGCTCCTTTCGCTTTGTATTATTTGTAGTCCTACAGCTTTCTTTCCGTGCTTTTGTTTTAGAACTAATATTGTTTTCTTCTGATTGCTCTGCATCGAAATTATAATCCTCAGTCTCCTCCATAATTATATCGAAGTAGATGGTAATTCGCAGACAATCATGCATACATGAATTATGAATGTGAACATATTCATAACGCGCATGCCCCAGTCCAACAATGTTGGACGTTTTTGATAGAATCCAAAAGCCATCCAACATCGTCCAACATTTTCCAACATCGTCCAACATGGTGTTTAAACGATCCAACTTTGTTGATCCAACATTGTTGTACGATGTTGGTCCAACATTGTTGGATCGTTTAAACGGGCCTTAAGATTGTTGATAGCCGAGGTTTTATCTTCGAGCTTCAAAACCAACAATATTAATGAGAAGCATGGATCTTTCACTGACCGAGTCGAAGATGCTTTTAAGAGGAAAGATGGGACTTTTATGGGTCAACTCTACGGAGAGATATTGGATTGCCTGAAAATCAAAAGCATTGTTACCAGCGATAGTTTGTTGGATCGTCTCGGTGTTGATATTTCCGAAATATCAATGCCGAATTTTACATACCGCAGAGTGCCAAGACAAAGAACACAAATTTGGTTGCCTTAAGGTTAGAAAACGTATGACATGTTATGCATGCATGCTTACACAAGAATATATAAGCAAATATAAATTGACTTGATGTGATGCCCGATGGATTTGTCATTTGTGGTTTATTTATGTGATTCAAAACAAAACAAATTTTCGAATTTCGATCATATTTAAAACGTTTCTATTGATTTATTTCTTGATGTGTTCAATAGTGTACTTAAGATAAGATACACAAAAATAAACTGAAGCGTGATATTTGAAATTTACGTAACATTATTTCAGATCTGCTACAAATGGCAACTGCCTCAAACGTTTATTGTCAATTCTGCTTGTTGGTGACAACTTTGTGGTGACTATTTTGAGGCTGATGACCTCTATAGAATTATTTTTATTTGCTGATTATTATGCAAACATCCATGTTTTTCAAATCTTTTTGAAACGCAGCATAAAAAACACTTTGATTCTATCACAAGCATGGTGGCCATGTCAGTCTCTTCTGAAGCTATTGATAGTGCTGGAAGTGGTTGTTCTGTTGCTAAACTGGTCAGGGCAGAAGCTGTGTTAAATGCAAAAGATATGTCATGAACTGTGTTTGTTTGTTTGTTGGCACTCTCTTCAGTTACATCCTGAAGCATTTTTTTTTATTATCCTGACATATACTCTAGTGCTTATGAAGGGAATTTATTATTTAACCAAAGAATTGAACCTCAAATTCTATCTAGGGCTTGTGCTTCCACTAGTAATTATTTGCGAGTCTTGTTTTGCTTTGAAGGTTTTGCTCCTCAAGCAACTGCATTCAAACACAATCATTATGTGCCTTTGATACTTGGTGGGAAGGGAACTAAAAGAAAGGGAAGTAGTCACTTGTCACAAGCTAAAAAGCCCAGTATACAAAAAAAGTTGAGGTTTACACCTTCTGGTCCTACTGAGACAACCATGACAACTAAGGCTTATCCATATGGTATATCTCACAGGTAAATTTCCCAGGTTTTGAGAGCATAAAAGTATTGTTAAAGAACTTAAGTATTATTCCAGTCACTTCTTGTGAGTGTGAGTGTGTGAGTGTGAGTGCTTTGCGAAGATTAAAGAACTATACAAGAAGTACTATGGCTGCTGACAAGTTAAATGGGCTTGCTTTATTGTACATTCATCAGGACATTGATTAATCCAGATATAGAAAAGATTATAGATCTTTTTGCAAAAGTCAAAAGAAGAATTGAACTAGCTTTCTAGTAAGGAGTGAAAGTTTTTGATGCTTTTTTGAACTCTTGACTGTAAAGATGACTGCTGCTAACCTCAGTCAATATAAACACAAAAAATCGTTCTCAGGACTTTACTTACCTGGACGATCGACGTCTACAAACATTTTTTGCTTTTTTTGTTGGCAACTTCATTTGATAAATTGACATAAAATGGTTTGCACAATAATCAGCATATAGGTATGACTAGACCATTATAAAATGAAATTCCATATAAAAGTTGATGAAGTGTAAAGAATTTTTTTAGGCTAAGTTTGTAATGAACCAGGCCGTCCATGTCAGAAGCCCTCAAAGCATATTTTTCTGCGAGTTTCTTAGGCATGCTGATGAGCTCTGATATTGAGCGAAACGGTCAAAAATCAATGATTTACGAGCAAGAATTTTAGCTTTCCAGTTGTAAATATTTTAAAAAATCAACTGTAAAGACGCAGGAAATAGCGTTTTCTGCAATCCAATTTAAAAATTTTACCGGGGGGGATGTGCTCCTGGACCCCCCTAGAATAGTTGCGCTAACGGTGCGACATTGTGCCTAAGTTCATATACGAAGCTGGATCCGCCTCTCCCTTCGGGATACTAGTTTGCAGCTCTACCTGTAGAGCTACCAAGCACACAAGGAGACGAGTCAAATCTCTTTAAAACTACGTATGGACGAGAGATTCTCACCACAATAGCAGTTACTGGATGGCACCGTGTGTCGACTTTATTCCAATGCCATCATCAGAGATTATACATAATATAAATAATATAAACACGGTGCCGAATTGGTAAAGCGCATAATCTCCTGAGAAATTAAATACTATATACACTTGCTTCGACACTTGAGCTTTGGAATCTAAAGAATTTTGAAAACGTTGCTAGAACACATTTGAACTTGGGTGTAGATAAAAAGCGGACGACGGACGCGGACGGCGGACGCAAAACGCGCAAATAAAATGCTTTTAGTCCGTAAAATAGGGTGAGAAAAAAAATAAAATGAGGTTTCATTGCGTTACACCCTATATGACTGACTGAAAATTGAAATATGCATGTTTAATTGCTTTAAATAATGAGGTCACAAAATTTATCCTGAAAGATAAAGCTCGTACAAACAGACGTTCGTACAATCATTAAAAACAGAGCTGCACGAAACTGTTTCCACTGTTTGCCTATACCTATGTCTCTTAAAAGCATCATTTAGTTTCGTTTTTATTTTAGCTTTTTCAATGTTTATTTTTCGACGTAGAATAAGAGTATTTTAGGAACGGACTAAAAGAATTTTATTTGCGCGTTTTGCGTCCGCCGTCCGCGTCCGTCGTCCGCGTCCGCTTTTTATCTACACCCTTTGAACTTGAATGATTTGCTGTTGATAGCGCCGGTCATGTTGCGTCACAGGCACTTGCTTGTTTTCTGTTGAACTAGTGTTTTTGCTTTTATTACTGTTAAAGTTGAGGTGTGTTACCGCTGAGAGCAAATTTTTTTCGATAAGATGATTTTAAGTCAAAAACATCTTTTTGTGGGTTGCTAATGCATGTGTCCAAACAATGAAGATTTCATTAATGGTCATGTTGAAAATCGCCCTTTGAACTCATATCAATATGGAACATGATATCATCGCATTTTTTGTTACATGAATTTTTCCATCTTGTTCAGTCGAAATCTTATACTTTCATTAATCATTGAAAAAGCCACATGCAAGAATAGGAAGCTTTTATTCCTGTCATAAATGTTCCTGACTCCTGTTAACCCCGTAATTTAAATGTCTTGTTATATTGTGCGTACATTGGGTAGGACGAAGTAGAAATAAAAATCGTTTCTATTTCAGTTATGGGTATTTAGGGGACCGAGTAGGATGACATTTAAATGATGATAAAAGTATCGAAGTGTAGAAAAGCCGATCTTTAAAATTGTAAGGACAAGGATAAATCGGGATTAAGATTGAATTCAAGTATGCCCCCACTAATATATCACAACCGACGATATATTCATTGTTTGTTTTATAAAAATTGTATAAAAATTTGGGGCAAATCAAATGATTATCAAATACGAGTTTTGAGAATTCATATATGTTATTGGAATTCACAGCAATATACTTTACCCTGTGCGATTGAATTTATACAAGAACGATTTAAATACAATGATTTTTGCCAATGTTTTTGCATCTTAATGCATAAACATTTTATCTTCGATAGTTCAGAGTGGTCAAGGAATTACACCTCACGTCAACTTCAGTTATGGAATAATTTCAGAAATAATAATTGTCCCAACATCTCAATTAGAAACATCTTTTTCACGTCAACTTATCAAAATTACACGCTTAAAACGTCGGATAATGTCACTTTTGAATGGTTTCAAAATAACAGGGACGTTTTGAAATCCATCTCGATGGCATATTTAAGATTTTTTGCTTGGAAAAACAAGTTTCGTAAACAGATGTCGGATTGGCATAAATAAAACATCTGTAAAAATACTCAGTTTCTCTTTTGCGCCCACCATGACAACTGAAAACAAAGGAATTATGGAAACAACTATATTTTTAAACAGATTTGGTATTTAAATGTCAAGCTTCGTGTTCACCTCTTCAATTTGGTTGTCAAGTTCCCTGATCTCGCTGATTTCAGTCTTAAAGACAATTGAATCATACGACATCTGAGTATTATTTGTTGAATGAGACGTTTCTGAACTTCTTTGTTTTGATTATTCCTCCCGTCAAACGTTATCAATTTTGTATTAACATCAACTGATTCAGAATTTTATATTTTTTTGTTTGTTTAATAGTTCATCCTTGTTCAAGAGTTTTTCAAAATCTTTGTTGGAAATTGATGCTATTATAAGCGCACCATAGTAAGTGTGTCGCGCCTGTCAACCGACAACGTCTGTAGATCATGATAAAGTTTTGCTAGTATCTTCTACCCCGTATGACTTTTCTTCTCACTTTTAGCTGTCGAAATTTTGTAGATGTGATAAGTTTCTTCATGGTTCTCAGACACTGTGTATTATGGCCGCAGATACTGTGAGACCCTGTGATCGAGTGCACATGAGTACGTTTTTGTTGACGACATCCCCAACCGCCACAATCGCCTGGAAAAGGTGCGAAACAATGGCCCAAATCGAAAATTGCAAGCATTAAAGCAAAAAAGATTGCTAGTAGGATAAAGAATCTTCCCATTCTTGTGTATCTTGTTAACAGATTTCAAATGCTCTCCTCTATTCAACAATTTCTGGTTTTGTGTTCTAGACAAAAAAAAGAGGAAGGCAAATTAGTCTTGAAAAGCAAAGATATCGAGTTTTGTGGTGATGCACCACACTTTAACATCTGCATGTTCACGTTTGACATATCAGCAACGTCTTTTACTGGACCCTATTGCAGTTTTTTCATTCCACAGGAAATTTCTAAAATCGTAATCGGCTGATATTAACTATTTAGGCGGGGAATTTTTCAAAAATTGTTTACCATTTCGCTTGGTGATTGTTGCAGATCTTCTGCGCTGCCCCAGAAAGGGTTAAGGTCCACCCATGAATAGCAAATATTATTTTACTCCGAAAATTGGCTTTTAACTATCTGCAGTTTGACAAATTTCTGTTTTTCCGTTATGTAATTACTTGAGTATATATATGATCATCAATACTAAAGCAAACTAAAATCTAAATTATTGAGTTATAATTGTGATGTAACTTTGCATACACTTTATTGAATTTGGCCAAAGTAATATTTTTTTAATGGATAATCAACCATAATCTCGTCAATAGCTATAATATTATCATGAAAATCTCATTAGCAACTTTTAAGTGGTCTGCTTTGAGTTTACCCCCTATATAAAGGTAAAAGACGTGCTGGGTTGCCAAATCAAAAATTAAACTTCATTTATAAACGGTGGCCTGTGGGCAACTAGATAAGTAAAATTATTCAGATATGCACTTTATTCTACAAGTAAGAAACATTCCGTGGCCGATTCGTCTAAAGTAAAATTTATGATGCAATATAGCAAAGTAGGCCCAAGTTGTTTCTAGACAAGCGAAAATTTCAACATTGCCATTTATTTTCTAAGGAAACCAGTTCATTTCCCGCTTCTTCATTAAATGAACATTGAATATTTGTTATCGATGTTATGTTAGTTACCGCAATACCAGCACGACTTCTTCCCTCATACTTTTATGTGCTTTTATTTTTGGTTAATGGCACACTTCGTTCACTCTATTAATGTTATGAAAGCTTAAATGCCTGCAGGTATTTATTTGATAATAAGGTGAAACTCGTTGCTAATATTTGCCACACGCGTACAAAATTTGTGTCATGTTTTTCTAATTTGAAACTCGGATCAGCATTCTTTAGTGCTTAGCATAGAAATTAATTATTTGTAAAATTAAAACGTGCTATTGTAAACAGTCTTCGTTTATTGACATACAACATCCACGGGCGCATCTGTCAAATAGTCTATATTTACCGTTTCAAATTTTTTTATTGGTCTCTGCATTTATCACACATTAAATTGCCTAGTAATTTTCAGATAATACCCATCTTCACAAGTACGAAAATGTAAATTTTTAGGATTCTCTGTTAAAACGAAAGACAGAACGAAAATGGCGCAGCTATAAAAGCAAACACTTTTCATCTGTCGAGTGTAATTTCTTGTGAGGATTTTAGCAATAGTCATGAAAACCTTATTAGCTTAAATGACAATGAAGACTTTTCTCTTTAAATCGCTATATCAACTAAAATGCATTAATAAATATCTAACTGCATGATGAGCATTAACAAACGACGATAGTTATATGCATCAGGAACAAACTGACGAAAATATTCCATTGGCTTACTGTCAATTCATTTAAAGCTAAATAACTCATTATAGTATAGGACATACCAGGGTATATATTATATCCTCAGACACTCAGAGTTAATTGTCCCTCCTCGAGTAAATTATAATTCCGTACTGAAAGATGAATGATAGTTGTAGAACTCGACGACGAACGATCGTACTGAAAGATATCTCTTGATTGATTTCTAAATCTATAATCAGACAAAAGACTAACGAAGATGTTCTTCCTCTCTGCGTATCGTTGCTTCGTTTCTAAGTACCTGATTCTGTAAGTCCTCCTTAAATATCTTCGTCGAGGACAACCCCCCTTTTCAAGATTGTCACATTGGAATTGGAAAAATTGTACAAACATGGGCCATAAAGCTGCTTATCAAATCAACGCTGACACAACACAACTGCTCTTCGAAATGTTCCTGGGCTTAACTATTTTGTTACGCGATAAGATCACCTCTTCAAAGGTCTATTATCGTGTCCTTAAGCTACTTACCCCATCAATCACCAACGTTAATTCCTTTTCTGGTCAAAAACGTAATAATACATGTGTGCACTGCATGTAAAGCAATGATTTCCTCATGACCATGTGAATGAAATGCATTACGCGTCATACACGAACATAGAAGCGCAAATGATTTGCATATTTTGCGCTCTTATCTAATCTCGTTTGCTTTACGTTGTTAGCTGCTTAACCACTTGGCACTTGTGCAAGAAAGGCCGGAGTTTTTCGACCAAACACACTCAAATAGCAAACTGAACTTTCTGCTCAATGTTTCTAATGCTTGTGTTGTGATCGAATACGATCAAGACAAAATTTCAGATCGATATTATGAAACATCTGTGTTAAATCTGTTTAGATAAAGCTCTTTGCGACATTGCATTACTTGAATGTGTTGCTCAATGTTTAAATGTATGAACACGTAAACATGCCACTGTATATGTCTGTATTGTTAGTGTTTCATACAAATGTAACCGCATATGTCATCATCTTTAAAGTTTACATGCAACTGTAGTTTAACGTATATCGAAATCTTGCAAAACGGATTGGATTTCAGGCTCTGTTTCGGTTATAAGCGCATTTTTATGATGGCTTACACACACAAAGTAATCAGGATTGAGTCGTTCTGATTCTCTATTTATACCTTATTTTTATTTAGAAACTACATGCAAATGTAATACCGAATTAAATTGAACAAACCCAGAAAAAGAATATGAAAGGTCATATCGACTATATCGACTTCTTAGTATTTTCACTAAGTTTTTCTACCAATGGAAACGACAACAAAAATAAAATGACTGTTCAGATTTCATGTGCTAGAGGCACTTACTACAATTAATACCTTAATTTAGTAAAATTTTCACAGTTTCCTCGCTATAAATTGAAGAAATGCAGATATGGTCGACAACCTTCCGTCTTTTCAACGAAAAATATAATTTACGTAATTAGAGCAAAGCACGTGTAGTTTCTGACCAAGAATTGATTTAATTTTTGGACTTTTATGTGGCGCATTTTGCGTTTTTTTCACGTGCGCCAGTATAGCTTGCTATTTCTGGCGTACAATTTTATCTATGAAAAGTCCATAAATGTTTTTTTTATGCAGTGTGGTGTTTGAAATTAAATGAAGATATGATCCCGTTGAGTCACCTGATTTTTTCAGGTCCTGAGACGATTGCTTAAATTGTCCAGCAAAGTGCGAAGATCATATCTTCATTTAAAAGTCCATAAGATGTTCAACATGTTTCCATGAGAAGTTTCATTATAGCAATACCTTTGAAACAGAGTTTTTTGAATTCGAAACGTTTTTTGCTCGTTTTCAAAAGGCTTATTTATCATTTACAGACGATGAAACTGGATCAAGGTCAACAAATTAAGGCTACGCAATGCAGAAAACTTTCAGACTTTTGGCTTATGATGAAGTAAGGTCAATTTCATTGCAACAATTAACGAAAGATATGCATGATACAAGTTGATGCTTATTTAAGCGCAGTACACGCTTATTAAGGGATAATAAAATACTCCGGTTATTCTACGATGAGCAACCTGTATCACAGGAGTATCTACAGTAATCATTAAAGCATGTTCAATTGTTTTAGTTCCTTTAACAGCATGACCAACCATTGAGACATTTTTTGATGCAACAATGTAAGCCTTCTGAAAAGGAAGTCTATGCCCCCCCACAATAGCATAAAAACATCAAACGCTCCTTCATAGTTGAACCACTTGTCAATTGGTTTATTTGCTTGCACAAAAGATGTAACATTTGGAAAAATTTAATTTTTTGAGTAATATTTATTGTCAACTATCGATTCAACAAAATGTCGTTCACAATGTTCCCAAGCAATTTCACCCAAACAGCGCGGTTACAATTCTTTTTGCACATAGTGGAAGCAAGATGTCGAAGTTACATTTTAGTTGCACATAGTCGAAGCAAGATGTTTAAAAAAAGTTGATTTTTGTGATTTGATATACAAAGGAAGGAAAGTCTCTGGCTCAAAAATCTCTGGTTCAAGTTTGTTGCCAACATTTAATGCTCTTGTCAATTTTCATAATAAACCCCATACTATTATTGGATACGTTTTCCAAAGTAGCTTGCTTGGAGGCGTGTCATTCTAAAAGCAAAATTTCCAATTGTTTAAAAGATTTTTAAAGTTTTTTACACGCCATGAAAGAACGTCGTCTTATGTAACAGATGCTAAATATTATTATGTAAGGAACGTGCCATCTACGTAACTCGTCTAAGCTAAAAGCATCAGACATGTGCGTCCCATTTTATACTGCCTGACAACACATTAGGCATGGCGGACAGATAATAGATTAAATATGATAAAGTTTAATTCTAAAATGAGCTACCGTATAATAACTTGCTTTATAAGTGTCGCACAAAAGCATTTAGAAAATCGGCAAATGCATCAGTAAAACGTGTTTTTCAAGTTTTTTTAGAGGCTTAAATTTCAAATGTGTAGTCGAGCCTCTGTTTATTTCGTCCTTGGTTGAGACAAAATACAAATAACAATGCGCTGCTCTTAAGAATGGATGAGAGATGTTTAAAACTGCCGTACATTCGAATTGATATCTTCTTTCATTTATTGCCCTTGATATTTTGTATACCAGGTAGGAGGTTAAAACCGACCTTTATCAAATAGGCTGTCTGATACCCCCTTTTTATTTAAGATATTGATTAAGACGTACTTTTGGCTCTTTTGTGTCAATTTGTGGCATATCTGTTTTATTTGTGTTAAAAGCGAGGAGGAATTTTAAGGCCTGTTTTAAACATCGAATTTAAACATGCCAATTACATTAAAGACGAAAGAAAATGCAATGAATTTTTTCATCATCATTTGTTTTATAAATTTGTATTTCGTCTGATAATGCTTAGTCTAACACAAGCCATGTGTAATCCTAATGATTTCTCTGAGCAAATTGCTTTTTTTTTTGAATTTCCAACATGAATTGACAAAAGTCGACATTATGTGGAGGCTTATCATCATCAACATGATAAAACTGTACTTTTTGATGAAGAAGACATTAATAATGATACAGCTCACGCAAATGTATTTGTGCAAACAGATGGAATGCCGGAATTAAAGATGGTCGCTCTTGAATCAAGTGGGATGAACGTATTACTTTGTCGCTTTTTTGAACTTGTTGTGGAGAAGTGTTCTCAAGTAAACTGATAAAAACTTGCCATCATACATAAATTTGGAGATTGATGAAGTGGATCAGAAAAATATGAATAGCTCATACATGGATAGTTTCAACATTCGATCAAATGTTATAACATCCAAATGGATTGTGTAGTTTTTCTTTCGTACCATACCTAATAAAGGCACAAGACTGGATTAACTTTGATTATCAGATCATTTTTGATGAGCTAGACTAATGTATTTTAGGATATACATTTCAACGTCAGATTGCTCCTGACGAAGATTCTAGACTAAAATTTATGAATCCACCTTCATCATTAAATGACTCCCATTAAAGACACTCCACTATACTATAGGCTATGACCGCATGCTTAAAATAAAAATTGTCAATTTACAACTGGAGCTCATTCTTTTTTAGACACACAGTCACTCCTGGTGAGGACACTCAGGAGTATATAAGTTCACACCTGATAAATTCAATGAAAAATTTACGAGATGAGTTTTTCCTGACTGAAAGATAATAATTTAACGGGTATGAACAACTGTAAACAACAATTACGTTTGTATAATCTTTCGTTCTATTCTTAGTAGCCAAGTATTCTACTTTGGTTCGAAAGTCATTAAACCATCGTTCAAGTCTTCGACATGTTTTATAGCGCTATATAGCTTTTTTGTAGCCTTCCCATACGATCAATAAGCAGATTGCAATCAGCTGTAAATTTTACATTTCTATTTTTTGCTTCAATTAAGTAGACGAAATACGTGGGCCAGCAAACAACACTCTATGATAAAATAGTGTGAATAACTTCTCGTAAGTTGCTTTTTGCACTTACTTCTTTTGCATGTTTCAATATCGTTACGATGTTAGCACTGCAAGTGATAGGATGTTGTAAAATCATAAAAAGGTGTTAATCTTCAAAGCATTTTAAAAAGCAAGAGTGGGTAGACAATATAATATTTGGCAGTTTCAAAGCGCTACTTGTTTTCTGTAGTCTAGGATGGCCCGACATTTTCAACTACAATCTGTCTTATAAAAAATAATTCAGCTAAAGTTTATCAACCAAAAAGCTCAGTATCATGGCTTACGTACACCTATTTTTCCTGCTTATAGATGGAGTAGTTTGCAATGCATTTCACTTAACTTGTATGAAATCTGATTGGCTGTCTATTCAGTAGCTATGACCTAATGGTTTCTAATTGTTTCTGTAAGGATGACATTGCTGGAGAGTTTTCCAAAAGCAGAAATATAAGAGAAAAATGAGTCTGTAATATTGCTACCTGTGCTTAGCGTCATGAGGGAAATAGATGGGCGATGACCTTCCTGTAATATGAGTCATTGATGTCAATTAAGCAGTGATAATGGTTTCTCCATATTAGTGAAGACTCAAATTTCAACGATGGATCTCTTTATTTGAGTGCACTGAAGTATATATATGTATGAATTTTTGAAGTTTTGATGAAAACGTCAGACTCGAATTTCCACTGTAATCTTTCGTCGCACACTGGACGGACTTTTTGTTTTAAATTTTAAGTTTTATTCATCTTTAATTAGCTTCTCCGTTTCGTACAACTAAATTTATTTTATTGCTTATATGTACAGTTACTCTT